GGTGTTGCGATACACAGCCTGGAACCGCATCCTCTCCCGGGTCCTGGACTGGGTGGGGAGGGGGTGGTCTGCTGGTCCAGTGGGACCCAAGTTTTCAGCATTCTCGGGCTGCCACGACGAGTTGTCCTCCCACAAAGGGTGCTTGTTGTGGGGAAGCCGGGTGGTGATACCGCCACCCCTGCAAAGGCGAGTACTCACCGCCCTACATGAACACCACCCAGGGATAGTCAGAATGAAAGGCCTGGCCTGGAGCTATGTATGGTGGCTGGGGTTGGACAGTGAGGTCGAGGGTACTGTAAAGCACTGCCAGAAATGTCAGGAGTCATGACCCGAGCCCCCGAAGGCACTGGTGCGACCATGGGAGTCGTCCCATAAGCTGTGGGCAAGACTACAGTTGGACTTTGCTAGGCCCTTCCAGGGACAGATCTTCTTTATACTAGTCGATGCTTACACGAAGTGGCTGGAGAGGACACCGGTCCCGGTCAGCCATCCGCACGATTTGGCAGATCTTTAGCTACCAAGGCATACTGGACTCTTTGGTAACTGACAATGGCACAACCTTTACCTCAACGGAGTTTCAGGAGTTCATGCAATATTATGGAACACGACACATGCGCTCCGCTCCCTTTCACCCAGCAACCAGGCAGAGCGCATGGTCCGAACTGCGAAAGAGGCGCTGCGCCGCATGGACCGGGGGAACTGGGACTACAAGCTGGCCGCCTTCCTATTCGGTCAGCATACAACCGCTCACTCCACCACCGGCCGCAGTCCAGTGGAGCTGCTCACGGGACGCCACCTTACGACCCGGCTGGACTGCCTCCATCCAGACCGGGGGCCAGAAGACACAGCGCAAGCCCTGAAGACCAGGAGGCCCTGCGAGGCTTCTTCCCGGAGGAACCCGCACACTACGGCTGGGGTCCCCCCTCAGTTCCGTCAAGAGTCGTCCGGGTGACCGGGCCCCTCTCATATGAAGTCTCCTGTGATGATGGCCAGCTGTGGAGGAGGCGGCACATTGATCCAACTGTGCCGCTGCAGCCTACCCACAGCCCCAGAAGTATCAGATGACGACGACCCTTCTCCCGGGGAACTAGAGGCTACCGATCCACCTCATCCAGGGACAGGCGCTCTACCTGGGAGAACAGTGGCAATGCGGAACCACCAGGCAACCCGGAGCCCAGCAGCACACCAGCCCTGGCAGTGGCCCCCGTGGCGGAGGTTCCTTCCCCAGAGCTTACAAGAACGGTGCCAAGGAGCCCAGCCCCGGCTCCGAACGCTAGCCGCTCCGCGAGGGAGCAAATGCGGCCAGTGTGGTACCTCAAAGACTATGTCAGCTATGGGTAATCTGGACCGGGGGGGGGGAGGAAGGGGTGTTGTGTAACCAGGGAGACCGCGCACGTGGCCAGGCCCGCACGTGGCCATGCGGACTGGTGAAGCTTCACACCCAAGGACAATAGAAGTGAAGGATCCAAGAACTAACCACTTTATATGTTCTTATGTGTTTTTTACTGTGGTTTTAGATAAATTGTTTGCAATGTTTTATCATCCTGCGTAAGCTGCCCTGAGCCTGCTTTGGTGGGGAGGGCAGGGTAGAAATTAAATAAATAAATAAAATGGTCTTCTGCCAGTGGGTGGAGGTTTGGTTTGTTTGGCGTTCCCGCACTGACACAATTTTTATGTCTGCTGCCCTGGGGCATAGAACTACTCTAAATAAAATAAATAAATGAAGTTTACCTTGATGTCCAAATATTCAGGCAGTCCTAAATACTGAGACTCTATGAGACTGTTTTGGTCCAAATGACACACTTGAGATGAAGCCGAAGTAGACTCAGCAGTAAGCCCCATAGAGCTATAGAATGTTAAGAGTTGGAAGGGACCTCGCAGGTCACCTAGTCCAACCCCCTGCACTCTGCAGGAGCATCGCCGAAAGACAGCCCTGCAACATACCCAAAAGATGGTCGTCCAGCCTCCGCTTGAAAACGTCCAGCGAAGGAGCATCCACCATCTCCCAAGGCAGACTGTTCCACTGCTCAACTACTTTTAAAGTTAGGAAGTTTTTCCTGATATTTAGCCGGTAACGACTCCCTTGTAATTTCCACCCATTAGGTCTAGTCTTGCTATCTGGAGCAAGAGAGATCTGCTCCATCTTCTACATGACAGCCCTTCAAATACTTGAAGACTGCAATCATGTCCCCTCTAAGCCTTCTCTTTCCCAGACTAAACAGACCCAACTCTTTTAGCCTTTCCTCCTAAGACTTGGATTCCAACCCTCTCACCATCCTGGTTGCCCTCTTCTGGACACGCTCGAGCTTGTCAACATCCTTCCTACAATGTGGTGCCCAAAACTGGACACAGGACTCCAGGTGGGGCCTGACCATAGCAGAACAGAACGGAACTACCACCTCCCGTGATCTGGACACAATGCTTCTGTGAATGCATCCTAAGATTGAATTAGCTTTCTTCACAGCCACATCGCACTGCAGGCTCATGTTTAGCTTGTGATCAACCAGAACACCTAGGTCCCTTTCACGTGTGCTGCTGTCAAGCCAAGTCCCTCCCATTCTATATCTGTGCCTTTGATTTTTTGTACCTAAGTGTAGGACTTTGCACTTCTCTCTATTGAAATTGATTTTATTTGTCTCAGCCCACTGTTCCAGCCTATCTAGATCATTTTGAATCCTGACTCTGTCTTCTTCAGAATTAGCAATCCTACCTAGCTTCGTGTCATCTGCAAATTAGGTAAGCATCCTCTCTACATCTTCCTCCAGGTCATTTATAAAAACATTGAACAACACCGAGCCCTGTGGCACTCCACTGGAGACTTCCCTCCACGTAGATGCAGAGCCATTTACGAGCATTCGTTGGGTACGATTTTTCAACCAACCGTGGATCCATCCAATAGTTACACCATCCAGCCCACACTTAACCAGCTTATCCTCAAGGATATCATGAGAAACTTTGTCAAATGCTTTACTGAAATCTAGATACGCTATATCCACAGCACTGCCAGAGTCAAGCATTTTAGTAACTCTGACAAAAAAGGAGATAAGGTTGGTCTGGCATATTCTTGATAAACCCATGCTGGCTACTACCAATTAACTCATTCTGTTCAAGGTGCTCACAGAAAGAGCGTTTAATAATCTGCTCTAGAATTTTTCCAGGTATTGATGTCAAACTGACAGGCCTGTAATTTCCTGGATCTGTCTTTTTTCCCTTCTTGAAGATCAGGACAACATTCGCTCTTTTCCAGTCTTCCGGCACACCAGTACTCCAGGAAATCTCAAAGATTAGAGCCAGAGGCTCTGAAATAACATCTGCAGTTTCTTTTAGCACCCTGGAATGCAAGCCATCCGGCCTTGGAGATCTGAAAGTATTTACGGCAGCTAGATGCTCTCTAACCATCTCCTTACTTACTCTGGACTGGCAGTTCCTCCTTCCTTCATATGTCCTACATTCTTCAGTTTGTATACAGCTCGCCTTACGGTTAATGACCGACGCCAACTGAGAGTTGAGTAATTCCGCTTTGTCTTCATCCTTTGTTAAGGCTTGACCGTTTCCCCCTAGCAATGAGCTTACCCCATCCCTGTTCTTCTTTTTGCTCCGAACATAGGCATAGAAACCTTTCTTGTTATTTTAGCATCCCTCACAAGCCTCAGCTCCATCTGCGCTTTAGCATTTCTGACACCATCTCTACAGATTCGAGCCTGTTTCTTGTACTCACCCTCAGTAATTTGTCCCATTTCCTGTACATTTCCCCTTTCTAGTCTCAGCTCTTCAGAGAGTTCCTTGTTCAGCCACCTCAGCTTCATTACCCGTCTCCCACCTTTCTTTCTCACCAGGACAGTTTGCGATTTTTATTCAATAGGACTCACTCAAATGGTTTTCTAACTCCCATTTATATTTTCTATACCACTCAGATGGCAAAGACAGCATCAGGTGCAGCAGTCTGCATACTGGTACTTCACCCAACTTAGCATATTTCCCAAGCCTAGAGCCTACCATCTGGATTAACCCACAGAAGTTTAAGGCACAATAAAATCATAGTTAGTTTTTACACTGCCCCAGGACATCTGGTTACTTTCCCAAGCACTTCCCAGATCTTTGTGCTCTCCTAAGCCCACCTCACGCAAGAGTTCCAGAACGATACGAAGACACTACCCCACCCTCTCCTAAGGGAACCCGGGCTGCCAGGGCCCCCCCCCCCAGCCACCAGTGGGGAATGCAGGGTGGCCAGATCCAGGCTGACATGAACTCCTGGAGATTGGTGGGTGGAGCCTGGGGAGGAGAGGGGGACCTCCTCACTGGGGTACAAGGCCACCCTCCGAAGGATCCACTTTCTCCAGGGGAACTGACCTCTGGAGTCTGGAGAGGATGGGCTGTAACTTCGGGGAGTCCCCGTGTCTCACCTGGAGGCTGGCATCCCTAAAGAGAACGGAGGGTGTGGCCTACAAGAGGCAGTGGGGGAGGAGGGGGCCCAAACGGAGGGGGGAGCCCGGGGATGATGGGGGCCCCCTCCCCTCTGATAACTGTGGGAGTACTGCTGCGCGTGCCCAGGTGTGTGAGAGGGACGACCACGGTGGGTGCTGAAGATCACTTGGTCTGGATTTCTCAGATGCTCCAACTTGGTGGGGAGTGTCCACAGTGCCCCATTCCAAGTCACCACAAATCCCACCAGCCACTCCTCCCAGGGCACAAAAGCTTTAATTGAACAAAAACGGGGGGAACAAAGCCCCTGCTCCACCCCCACCCCCTCAAAGGGGCGCAGGACTGGGGGAGGGTCCAGGGCAACGGAGAGAGAGGGGAAACTGCTCCCCCCCCCCCCCGGCGGGGGGGGGGGAAGGGGGGGTCCGCTCTCCAGGCCTTCCCTCTGTAGCCACACACACAGAGGGTTTGGCTGTAGTGGGCGTGGCCAACTCTGAAGCCAGCTGGAACTGCGTTCCTCTGTGTTGTGGCCACTAGGAGCTCCCTGCCGCCGCCGCCGCCCTGGCCGTGTGTGTGTGTGGCTGCTCACACCCACCCCGCCCTCCGCCGAGCTGCCCCGTTCTCTGACCGGAGGCCTCGGTTCAGTTCAGCTCCGCAAAGTGCAGGTTTCCTCCTGCGCCAGCCACAGCCACCAACTGTCCTCCAGGTGCTGACGCCACCACGTGGGCAGGCTTGTTGGGCAGGTGGATCTCCCCGACCACCTGTCAGGAGGAGGAGGAGCAGCAGCAGCAGTGGAGGGAGAGAGAGAGAGAGACGGAGCATTGGCAGGTAAGATGCTGGCCCAGCCTCTCTTCTCCACCCACCAGGCCCCGGGCCCCTTTTCTGGCCGGAGCCATGGCTCAGTGGCAGTGGGTGGGCTTCAGTGGGCTCTGGCCATTCAGAGGACAGCCGTGCCCAGGAAGGAAGACCTCGGGGAGCACCTGCCCATCAGGAGGACACTGGGCTAGCTCCACAAGCCCCACCCCGTTTGTCCGTCACCGGCCACCCTGGGCTCCTTACCTGACCTGTGCCGACATGCAGAAGGCTGGCTCCACAGGTGCCGCTGCCACCCGCTATCACCACATTCCCTGCGCAGAAGCGGGCCGAGTACAGGAATTCCCCCTGGGTAGGGCTCCCGGGAAAGGGCAGGTTCTGCCACAGCCGAGTCTTGCGCAAGTCCCACAGCTGGAGGGCGTTGCGGGGGACCCATGAACCTGTCAGGACCTGATTTCCCTGCACAGAGAGAGGCCAGGCGGACGTCAGCCATGTGCTGGGAGAGGGAATGACCCTGGTGGAGAACGGAGGGAAGACACGGCCCCCAACAGCCACCTCGCTTGCTGCTGAAGCCGTTTTCTCCGTCCTCACCCCCTGACCCCTCTCGCTTGGGGACCAGACAACGTGGCTGAGTTTTGTGCGTTCAGGATTTCAGTCTCCCCCTTGCCCGTGGTGAGACACCCCTGATCAATCCCCTCCGTGTCACACGCTTCTTCTGAGCACCCCCCCCCAGTGTCCCTTTCTCCTCCCAACTACCTCGCAAGGGAGATGAGGCTGGGCCACAGCAACCCGGCCCAGGACCACCCAGTTGGCCTCACGGTGATCGGGGGGAGGGGGGGATTTTAAACCCAGCTTCCTAAGTCCAACACTCCTCCCATCTTGATTGTAACAGAGCTGCCCCTGGAAGCCTAGACCCCGTGCCAAATGTTGAGCAGGCATTACTTCCTGCTCTACGAGACCCACACCAGTAGGGATGCTGGCTGGACCGAGACGTCTCCCTCCCTCCCACAGTGGCCAATCGGATGCTGCAGGGAAGCTTGCAAGCAAGTGAAGACGCGGCCCTCCTTCCCATCCGACTCACACGGGGCCGTAACATGGAAAGGGGAGAGCCAGGTACACTGCTGCCCTGAGTGCCTCTTGGAGCACAAGGGCAGATTATAAAGTCAGCCACAGATGTGTCCTCCTCACCTTGACGTCAATGCCCGGGCCACAGATGTGAGGGCCATTGAGCATGCCTTGCGCCCCCTTGTTCACGCGTTTGTCCCACACCTAGAGCACAGGAGAGGAGGGAGGGGGGCTGTGCACCCACCAGACAGAAATACCACACACACGCACACGCACACCCCCATCCCCACGGCAGGCTCCACGGCCAGGGAGGGACCTGGGCGCAGACATTCCGCCCCGCAAGACCGCTCACTTTGACAGAGTTGTCCCAGCCCCCTGTCAGGAAGAGATGCAGTTCCGTGGGGTGGAAGCACAAGGCAAAGATCCGCCGGGAATGGCCACTGTGGGGCGTGAACTCGTCCCCGGCCATGAAGTCGGGGGCTTCCATGACGTGGAAGAGCTGCGCAACGGGAGAGAAAAGGCCATGCAGACAGACTGCAGACTCCTCGGCTCCCCCCGCCTCAGCCCCCACCGCCACGGGCTCACCTGGTGGGTGTGGCTGTCGTACAGCCGGATGTGTCGGTCTTTGCCTGCGGTAGCAAAAGCACTGCCGTCCCGGCAGACGTCCAGGGCATTGATCTCATTCGCCTTTTCTGGCCGGGGGGGG